ACCCCTTTAATGTTTTACTGGCACACACTTCCAAATCCAGCGGGTTGTTGACACAATGACTATTAGTCACATTTTAATCCATTACTGTCATCTAGTAAGTGCAGGCAGTGGATAGATTCACTGTTCTCAATATAAATGAGTTTTCCTGGCAGAATCAGAGTACTTTTGTGTGTTCTTGCCATCGTTAAAGTTCACAATTGATATATTTTATCAATTAATTAGTTTGTCACATAACTGGGTCATATTTTTTAAATGCATTTTATTTTTTAATCTATTCAAAAATATATTTATTTGATTTATACAATAAATACAGATTGAATACAGCTCATCTTTGATGTCAGGGTGAAATAACTGTCCTGCAATCATAATCAAGAAAAAAAAAAGTTTTTCCGAATCATATGAAACCAACATGAATACAAAAAGAATGTTTCTAAGTACTTGCCACATGTGCTTAACTAGATTTTTTATTATTATGGGCACTCTTATTTGTTATTGACCCAGTGTCTGTGTTTTTACAGATACTGCCCTCTCATTGCCCTTGCATGTCATAACCACTCCATGAGCAAACATATCATGTGATGTGTGCCAAACACAAGTGTATTGTTAACCAGTGGGCATTATAATTTGCTTTCAGTTTTTGGTAGTTCAGATGCCAACAGCTCCACGTTTCAAGTTGCTATTGTTATACATTATTTCAGATTTCCCTCTCACAGTCATTATTGATGCAGGAATTTTTTTTTTTAATACAGAAAGTTGTGCTCTTGTTTGATTATGCCTGATCAAGTACCCTCATATGATATTATTACATATTATGAATTGTTATCCATAACTTCCTCATGATGTCTTTGATAAAGAATGTGTATTATGTTTTAGCTATTGTGCGGAGCCACTTTAATGCTTGTTTGCTGTTGCAGTGACCCTGAATTCAAAGAACTCCAACCAGCTAGCAAATAACACTAAACCACACATTCAGGAGCTGCCAGAGGGAGAATTGTTGCTACAGGTGAGCTCATGTGTCCTGTGAAACCTTAATGTTTGAATCAAACAACAGAAAAGTCAAAAACAAAACAAAATGGATTCTATTTATTCTATTTATTAGCAGTATAACTTCTTTTTTATAGGCTATAAATGGCTTTGTGTTGGTGGTCACCTCCAATGGCACAATTTTCTATGCTTCCTCCACCATTGAGGACTACTTGGGGTTCCATCAGGTTTGTACTGGTTTGCATATATATTGTACGGGTAAAAGGAACTGCAGCCCAAATGGTTTATGCATTTATGAAATGGTCTTCTGGCACCTTCTATTCGAGAAAGAACAAACAATCCATGTTCTGTTCTGCAGTGCACACATTTCTTCTCCGTTTAGTGAATCTACTCTCTCAGAAGCATTTAGGGTTCATTACATTAAGCATTATGCACTTGATTTAACACATTTTATTTGATGATTCAGTTGTTGTTGTGAAAAACCAAGTGGAAAGAGATAACCAGTCTTTTAGATTCCTCATTGCAGCTTTAGAATTTATGGTAACACTTTACTTGAAGGGGTGTGCATAAGACTGACATGACACCTTCATAATCATGACATGACACGTCATGAATATGAAGGAGGTTTTATGCATGTTTATGACAACTGTCATTAAGTGTCATTCGCTCAGTTATGTCATTTTTAATGCAAATATGACATTATTTGACCTAACCCTAACCTAACCCTACCCCTACCCCTACCCCTAACCATAGCCCATAACAAAGACATCTCAAACAATGTCATCTTTGCATTAAAAATGACATAACTGAGCGAATGACACTTAATGACAGTTGTCATAAACATGCATAAAAAACCTTCATATTCATGACATGTCATGTCATGATTATGTAGGTGTCATGTCATGATTATGAAGGTGTCATGTCAGTCTTATGCACACCCCTTCAAGTAAAGTGTAACCAAATAATTTTACAAATCTAACCTCTGGTTATTTGTCTATCTTGTGTGAGGCCATTTATATGCATTATATCCTGTGTCAAGAGACGTGAAAGAGAAGGAGGGAAAGGAAGTTGAGGAGAGAGAAAATATCTGAAGAGAGATCAATTTGAACTGTAAT